GGTTTACCACCCTTTTGTGCCTTTTTTTGCCTTGTTTTGGACTAACTCTTTAGGCCTTTGAGATCATCTTCTCTTGACCTTTTAACCGCTGAATTCTAGAGGAATTTCAGTGGTGAAAATTGTGTTTTAAGGCCCCAAATAGGAGGGGGTAATCCTCTCTCCTTGTGTCTTGGTTGCTTGTGTTGATGGCCTCATGTTTGAGCATGTTTGTGTAGCATGTGTTGGCTTGTTCTTAGCTTATTTTTGGCCTTATTTCAGCATGGCATAACTTTGTTTTGGCTTAGTTTAGGCTACCCTTGCATGCTTCATACACTTTTACTGTAATCCTTGCAAACTAGCCTTGTATGCTTAAGGTTTTAGCTCACCTTTCTAGCATGTATTGGTTCCATTTCAGCATGTTTTTGGTCATTATTTAACATGCCTTAACTCTGATTTTGGTTGGTAGAGTCATCTCTTGCTTTGTTTTTACACTTGTATTGTAATCCTCTTCGTTGGCCTAGTATGCTCCATGCTTCATGCCTCTAATCCTAGCTTGTGTTAGCCCTATCTCAGCATGTATTTGCTATTGTTTTGCCATGCTTAAGCTCTGTTTTGAGTGGTCTTGATCATTTGGACCTTGCTTTGTATAGCCATAGTTCAATCTTGCTCACAAGCTTTGTGTTTTGAGTCCACTAGCATGCATTGCTTGGGCTATTTGCATGATTTAGTATCATTTGATATGTGATTTCAGAGCATGTAGCATTGCCATGTTTTCACTTCTTTCACTCTTTGAATGCTTCTAAGAGTTGTGCCTTTGTGCCTCGTTTATGGGCCAATGTGTATGCATGCATGCCTAGGCTTTTGAGCTCCCATCTCAGCATGTTTTGGTCTTTGTTTTGACTTAATTGAGCTCTGTCCATGGTTGGTTCAATCATTTGTGCCATGTATTTCATGCCTCTTGTGTGGTCCTCTTTACTAGCCTTATGCCTTAGGCTTTCTAACATGCTATGCTTGTGTTGTTTGGATGATTTGGTATCATTTCATACATGATTTCAGTGCATATAGTGTAGCTACACTCTAACATTTTTCACTTCTTAATCATGTTTCAGAGTTGTGCTCTTATGCTTAGTTGATGAGCCGATGCATGAGCATGCATTACCTTGCCTTTCATGCCTTCATTTCACAGCATTTTGGCCATTATCTTGGCATGCATGAGGTCTATTTGGGGCTGGTTTAGTCCATTGTGCATTGCATTGCATAGCCCTGGTGTTGTATCCTTCACTAGCTTTCACGCTTAAGGACTCTAACTTGACATGCTTATGTTGTTTGCATGTTATTTAGAATGTTTTTGCATTGCATTGTGTTTGGATTGAACGTTAATCCAAACACGAGAAACGAGGAACGTTTCATACTTGAAGTGGTGAAACGTGTCTCATTTCTCGGTCACCGACCCTCTTGATCAAGCATGATAGAGCTTAAGGCCCTTATGTGTTATTTGTGCATTCATTGACATTGAATTGTGTAAACTTGGCTTCTCAGCCATCGTGGATTGCGATGCATAGTTGGTGGCCCGAGAGTCGAGAACTGCACTCCCTTGAGCTTGAGAAATGATAGGGAGGGTGCTTGTACACACATACCTTGCAAATACACTACTGTGCCCCTTCTTGTTCTTGTTGCAGCAAACTGGAGCTTGGCAGAATTTTCTGGTCGGCAGACCAGTAAAAAGTAGCTGGTCGACCACTTTTTCTGGTCTATAGCAAACTTAAGTGGTCTACAGGTGGTCTACAACACCATTTTCTGGTCGGCAGCCTTCTAGGAGGCCCTTGTGTTAGAGTAGAAGCAATCTGGAGGTTTGTGCAGTGTTCTGAGATCAAATGCAAACAGAGGCAACTCGGGGTATAGTAATGGATTTCCAAGCGAGGCGATCGAGCATGCATGCATTTCTCGCCCCGAGGCTCCTGTTAACTGCTTTGCTTAGCTAGTTAACTATTTGGTTTTGTACTTAAGTAGTTAATGCACTTAGCTATTCATTTGTATTTGTAATTAGTTAACTTGTTAGTTAATTAGCTTCGTTTTTTAATAATTAGCTTAGATTAGCTAGTTAGCTTATTATTCAGACCCTCCGTTGAGAGGGCAAATTTTGTAATAAGTGTGCGTGTGTGTGTGAATGTCTTCCAACCCCACGTCTTTCTCCCTTTTACTTACCCGCTTTCGATGGTTAGTTTTAGGGCATGTTTCAATTAGCATACTCATGTTTGCATGCGTGCATTCACTCATCTGTCTTGCATGCACCGGGCTCGGTGCATCATTCAAACTGTATTGTATTTCAATTCCTATTTGAATACACGTATCAAGTGTAGCATTCATATGCCATCTTAGATAGCCGAGCCTATTTTAGTTACATTTTGCATGTGTTGCATTAGACATCTTAACATAGTTAGAATTCATGCATGATTTCTAACTAGCTTCTTTTTTGGCTTGGAGTACACTGTGAGTGTTTATGCTTTAGCATCCTTGCATGAGTGTAAGTGATTGCCATGATAGCATACTTGCCATGAGGCTAATTGCTTAAGTGTTTAACTGTATGAATGCCTGTGGGTGAAGGCTTGATTGCCTGAATTGGAACAATTCATCAAAATGTTCGTTTTAAGCCCACTTGGAGTGGCAAAATCATGTTTTTCTAAGCCCACTTGAGAGTGGCAAATCTGCGACTTAGCCTACTTGCGAGTAGCAACTTCCAAACCATTTTCGAAAAAAAAAATGAGATGTTTTGTTCAAACTTGAGTGATTTAGTCTATACTTGTATGCTGTGCGCATCACATAGTAAGGTTAGCTAACAAACCGGAATAAGAACGCATGTGTTTTCAAAAACAACATATCATGTTAGTAGAGGCCGATCTTTGATCGGCCGAACGGGGGTGCTCAGTTCAGGACCTTCCCCTCTCGTACCCAAGTTTCCGAGCCGAGACAACTTTGGTGATGACGGACACGTGGCCTTAGGCACGAGTCGGAGTTTCCTAAATTTCTCAAAAATAAAATATTTAGGTGGCGACTCTGAAATCTGGCAAAGCAGTCCATGTTTGGCGCTTTTTGATTAAAATCGATTTTCCAAAACGATTTGCCGGATTTGGACTCTTTGGTGATTTATCAGTCTTACATTGCACTTTGTGAGATTAGATTCAGAACCGTGATAGGAGTCCGAACTGTAGTAGCTAGAACTACAATTCGTGCCCTCGTGCGCGGAGAGGAAGTTCGGGCGGTCTACCAACGTGCTTTCCTCGATGGTGGGGTGTCAATAAATATCATCACTACTGACACCTTTGCAAAGGCCGGTATCCCAAAGTCTAGATTAATTCGCCAATCGATGATTGTAACGGGTTTTGGTGGTGAGAAAAAAGTTACTAGGGGCCATGTGTCGTGCACTTAGTAGTTGGTGAGATCCGCTCCGCCATTAAGTTCCATGTGATTGAAGTGGACACAAATTACCATATAATACTTGGCAGGGCTTGGATGCACTAATACGGGCCTATCCCGTCCAGTTATCACCAATGCGTGAAAGCAAAGTTGGGAAAGCGCACAGTGACCATAAATGTGTCTGAAAAGCCATTCGGAGTGGAAGAGGCATACTATTCGGATACAGTTTTCTTTACTAAGTTATCAATGGATGAAACTCCAAGGACTGGTAAGATTGCAGGGGTAAAATTGTCGAAATGGGAAGACATTCGAGATGCAGAGGCTGTTCTAGATAAAAGTGGGCAGAAAAAGGAGCATCGAATCCACGAGTCCTCCGCCTAAGATTGTTAAGGTGCGCGAGGGCTGCAAGACAGTTTATTACCTATGACACTCTTGGGGGTCAGACTTCATACCTTGGGAGGATGGCCTTGAGACGAATAAATGTGACGATGAGAAGGCCCAAGAAGGGTTAGTGGAGACACTTGAGACCTCCCTTGAATGCATGCAAGATAGGCCCAAACCCCAGCAGGAGGTACTTGCTGAGGTCAACCTCAGTAACTTGCCTGAACAGAACAAGCCGGTGTTTATCAGTGATACAATAGCTCCAGTAGCTAAAGCAGAACTGATAACACTACTAAAACAATATAGTGATGTCTTTGCTTGGACATATGACGAGATGCCTGGTCTTGACCTATCGCTTGTCACTCATCGTCTGGATACTTTTCCCAAACCTAAACCAATCAAGCAGCATGCTCAGAAGTACTACCTTGATCTTGAAGCAAAGATTAAGGCAGAGGTAGAAAATTTACAGAGGGCCAAGTTCATTGAGCCTATACAGTACCCAACTTGGCTAGGGAATATTGTACCTGTGCAGAAGAAAAATGGTCAGATCAGAGTTTGTGTAGACTTTCATGACTTGAATAAGGCCTGCCCGAAAGATGAGTTTTCATTGCCCCATGTTGGCACACTTATTGATTCTACCGCAGGCCATCAGATGTTCTCCTTCGTGGATGGGTTCGGTGGTTATAACCAGATCAAAATGACACCAGAAGATGCAGAAAAGACGGCTTTTAGGACGCCCTTGGGAAATTTTTTTTATACGATAATGCCCTTTGGTTTGAAAAACGCGGAGGCAACCTACTAATGGGCTATGACTGTAGTGTTCCACGACATGTTACATCATGAAGTTGAAGTATATGTAGATAATCTGGTGGTCAAGTCTACTAAGGCAAACTGCCACCTCTGCGACTTAGAAAAAGTTTTTCAGTGTTGCCACAAATTCTGCCTCAAGATAAACCCTCTCAAGTGTGCCTTTGGAGTTATTGCCAGCAAGTTCCTTGGCTTTCTTGCACATCAGCAGGGGATCGAAGTGGATGGGGATAAGATCAAGTCAATCATGGAGATGCCACCGCCACACTCTTAAAAAGCCTTGAAGAAATTCCTAGGCAAAGTGTCATACCTCAAGAGGTTTATTCCAGCCTTTGCTGAGATAACCTTTTTCCTTTGAGACACTGTTAAAAGGGAATCACAAGTTTGAATGGTTGCAAGAACACCAACAGGCATTTGATATGGTGAAGAAAGCACTTACCTTCCCACTTGCAATGATTGCCCCACAGCCCGAAAAGCCTCTGCTATTGTACCTGACCTCTACTTCTCATTCTATTGGAGCTCTACTTGTCAAAGACATAGATGGCATTGAGAAGCCATTCTATTACACCAGTCGCAAAGTCAATGCTGCCGAGTCGCGATATACCCCAATTGCGATGCATTGTTTAGCCTTAATCTTCACAACACAGAAGTTGTGCCACTACTTTTTGGCACACTCGATCCAGGTTGTGACCCAGAGTGATCCAGTTTGCTATTTGCTGAGCAAACCCGCTCTGATTGGAAGAATGACAAGATGGCTCTTGGCTCTAGCAGAATATGATATCATTTGTGTTACTCCCAAGGCTATTAAGAGCCAAGCACTTGCAGACTTACTGGCACAATTCCCATCTGGTGAACATAAACCTGTAGAGGTGCCTCTACCAAGTGAGGTCCATCTCTTAGCAGCTGCAATTCAGACTTATTGGGACTTAAAGTTTGATGGAGCTTCCGAAGCTAAGAAAGGTGGAGCTAGTGTAACACTAACTAGTCAAGAAGGAGAGAAGTTTCATCTATCATATAAGCTTGACTTTGAGTATTCAAACAACGAGGCTGAATACGAGGCGCTGATACTAGGTCTAATAGCTGCCCAAAAGAAAGGCCTCCGCAAGTTGAAAATTTGGGGCGACTCCAAGTTAGTTATCAAGCAAACGATGGGTGATTTCACCTTGAAGGAGCCTCTATTAGCCCCGTACCGCACTGTAGTTCAAAGGTTGCTCACTCAGTTTGATGATGTCCAAATCCAGCATACCCCTCGAACACATAACCGTTTTCCCGATGCCTTGGCTACACTAGGGACAAAGGTGGAGATACCAGATGATAGTATAGCCATCGTCATTGAGAAAAGAACAACATCAGTAGTGCTAGTCGAAGAACATACAGAGCAAGATGCTGAGGGGTGGAAAACAGATATAATCTAGTAGTTGAAAACAGGCTAAGGAACAATCAGACCAGCAGAACTTGCATTATTCCTCCTCCTCAAAGGAGAGTTGTATTTTCGCGGTCCCAACAACTTGCTGGCAAGATGTGTCGGTAGACAAGAAGCAACTTACAGACTTAAGCAGATCTATGTTAAGTCCTATGGAGGTGGAGATATCAGTCTATACCGATGAATACTGAGGCAAAGGTATTACTGGCCAGAGATGGAAAAGGAAAGTATTGAGTTGCAGAGGCAATGTGTAAAGCGTCAGTCCCATCCTAAGGAAGAGAAAGCCCATTTCTTGAGCAGTGAAGAATGGAGGCAGCCATATATCGACTACCTTGGAAATGGCACACTGCCTGAGAACAAAGCCGATGCAATCAAAGTTAAGAGGCGAGCCCTCCGCTTCTTCCTTGACCAAGGTAAGCTATATCGAAGAAGCTTCGAAGGGGAACCTTTGGCGTGTTTATCAAAAGATGAAGCAAATGAGATACTGAGGGAAGCCCACAACACAGAACATCAAGGAGGGCAGCGATTATATGGACATCTCATTCACCTTGGCTACTACTGGCCGACAATGGAAGAATGTGCTAAAAACTTTGTGAAAAGATGTCAATCCTGCCAAAAGTTTGGGAACTTGATACATGCACTGGCAGTTGAACTGCACAACAACAAGACTTTTATCTGTTCCATACTTGGGCATTTGACCTGGTAGGACCTATAGTGCAGCAATCCAAAGGCTACAGATGGATACTTGCATCAACTGAAATTAGCACCAAGTGAGTAGAGGCTATACCAATAAGGAAGGCAGATGGGGCAGGAGTATCCATCTTCATCAGAGAGAACATAATTTGTAGGTTTGGCATACCCAAAGTGATGTTGTTGACAATGGAACTCCTTTTGTAAATCACCATGTTGGAAGACTGCTGGATGCTTACCAGATTAAGCACCACAAGTCTAGTCCATACTACCCCCAAGGGAACGAACAAGCTGAGGCGACCAACAAAACACTCATTCGAATATTGAGTAAAATAATGGATGGAACAGGGGACATATGGTCTAAACAACTCCCTGTAGTGCTCTGGGCATATAGAATGCTAGAGAGAAAGCCAACTCAGGCAACCCCATTTTCCCTAGTGTATGGGTCCGAAGCTATGTTACCAGTTGAGTTGGTAGTACCCTTAGCAAGAATGGTTATGTCAGCACACTTAGTTCCAGACAACAGGAAGAATGACATAGAGACAGTTGAAGAAAAAAGAGATTGGGTCTCACAGGCAATGGAAAAGTATCATCAATCCATAGCCCATGCCTACAATCAATCTGTTCAACACAAAAAGTTCAAGGAAGGGGACTTAGTATAGAAAACAGTGGACACAATCATGCGGGGCAACCAATCCCCAAGTTCTCACCCAGATGGGAAGGCCCCTACAAAGTTGCTGATGCAAGCAGCAACGGGTACTACAAGTTGATAAGAGTAGATGATGGATTTAGAACTGGCCCTGTCAATGCCAAGTATGTCAAAAAATATTTTCCTTAGTTTCTTTTGTTCAGGAAGAAGAGTTGTAAGTTTCTTCATTAATGCTTCCAAATCAAAGTGTAAAGAAAGTGTCATACGCTTAGTAAACCTTTTGCTCTCATATACACTTAGTCTGAGGAAAGTTTTCCATACTTAGTGAAATTTTACAGTTGTAAAAGCTTAGTCATGATGAAGTTTTGTTTACTGCAAGAGTTTTGCTTATCTTTAGAAGCTATGTAAAAGCAATATAAAGAAAGTGATGAAATGAAACCCAAAAGTACTACCAAACGTCCATGCTTTCCATTAAAGTCAAACTTCTAGAACATGATTACAATATTTGAAAAGAAGTTATGGCAGAGAAGAAGAAAAGAAAAGGTGCACCAAGCGTGATGAAACAACAAAATAAAGAAGAGGAAATGGAAGAAATCATAACAAAGTCACAGAGTTACATCAAATCAAATCAAACCGTTCAAAAGGGAGTCCATTAAAGTCACATCTTGAAGCAACTGGGCAACCAATGCAAAGTCCTTCTCTTTGAACTGAGCCAAGTTCTGCCAATGCTGCTCCAGGGTACCCTCACACTTCTTGATAGTCTTCTCCAAGGACGCAATCATTGCCGCATTGTCGGCATGCTCGAGGAAACCATCAACCGCCTGAAGCCTGTCCCTCATCCATGATAGGTTCAAACCATTCCTCTCAAAACCGCTCAGATTGGCCTTGGCACTCTCCACAAACTTACTGAGAGTCGTCAGGATCTGCTTGGTAGCAAGGTCACAAATAAAGCTAGCAAGTGACTCTAGTAGTGCCATCTGTACTATAGATCCAGGAACATTAAAGGCCGAAAAGGTATCCGAATGCAGTGCTTGGATACGAGCAAGAGTGGAAGCAGTTTCGGAAGAGACCCAGTAACTTAGGAAGGAAATTTTCTCTGAGGACTGGGGGAACTCTCTCACACCACCGCCAGCTTCAATCACTGGAGAGAGACTGATGGAGTGACCAAAGGTCTGAGGACAGCACACTTCTCCTGAAGATGATTGCCTAGCAGCATTAGAGTGAGTAGATGCTGGCTCGCGACCGTGTGAACTGGCCTCACAAGAAAGGCCAAAACTGTCTGCATTATTGTGTCACTCTAAAAAGAGGTCTTCTATCTGATAATCTCCAACATTCAGATCTGGAACAGCAGTGGTATTTATCTCAGTATAAAAATCCTGGGACACACCAAGGTCAGCTAGCACTTTTAAAAGTGAGTGGGGTACAAGTTTGCCAGCTGTTCAGAGGTGGCCAAAGCAATTGGGTCAGAGGTCCCAGCGGCAGCAGTAACAGTGTGGGCGGCTAAGGTGACAGCTACCTCGGCAAGTCGGTCCAAATTTAGGGGGCCCACAGCAGGAACAATGGCAGCAACCGCTACACCTGCACTCCCCTCAGCCACTTGGACGTCTGGAAGTGGAGTCTGCTGAATTAACAGAGACTTGGTAGACTAGGAGGAATCGCCAGATGCAGCTCCGAGGGGAGGTGGTGCAACTTCTAGTGGCTCTCTCATGCCGCGATCTTCCCTAGGGGTCTCAAGCATGAAATCAGCTCTGCCAACAGAGGAACAGCAAGAGTGCACAGAGTTAGAAGGGTGCGAAGGCTTTAAACCCTCAGCAGTTGTATCACCTACTGCAACTTCCATAGTAGGGGGAACTTGTATATTGCCTGTAGCCTTGGTAACTGGCTTAGCTTTGGCAACTGGCTTGGCCTCAGTAGTCGGTTCAGCTCTCATACTTGGTTCCTCTTCAATATCTAGAAGAACTGTCCTTCGGGTCCTAAATCTTGTGACCCTAGTAGCAATGAGAAGGTTTTCGTCATCGTCTGAGTCTGAAGAAATGCCAATGGTAGCAGAAGAACCTCCTAGACCAGAGGGTAGTGTGATCGATGGGCCCTAAAAAGAAGAAGAAGATCATGCGGTTATTAAAGTAAATATAAGAAGTCTAAGAAAGTAATACAAAATATTTTCTAAGTATAGATACCCTTCGGAGTCTCTTCCTGCTTGGTGAGGCATGTGCCTCGGAAACTGGTGCCGTTGCTGCTTGGGCTGCCCTCAGTTGTACTGTTGTCTCGACTTGGAGAGGAGTAATCTGCAAGGGTCGAACAGACATTGCCCCAGACGGGTGAGGCTCTTCCACGACGGGCCAAGATAGAAGCTTGAAGCGGCAGAATATGCTAGTCTGTTTCCCTTGGCCAGAGGGCAGACAAAGGGACAAGTCAGGCTGCGGGATGAGCTCCATCGCTGGAAGGACAGGAGCACTGTCACAAAAATTAAAGAAAGAATTAAGATTGCGGTGCCAGAACAGTCTGTGGCTGGGAGTAAAGGCGTCCTCTCTCCCAAGTGAAGGAAGCTCCATGAAGCCTAAGCCCTCCACAAGCAAAACAGTATAGTCACAAGCAAACCGCTGAAAGATCCGGTGGAAATTGGTTTGAGGCGGAGGGGCATGTGGAATACCCTGGTCCATTCCGAACTGTCTAAGGACCTTGTCCGACCGATAAACGACGCTGGACATGCCTTCTTCATTCCACACGGGCAGAAATCCTGGGTGTATCATACCAGCAATGAGGAGTGAGATGGCCTAGACACTGTCGAGAGAAAAATCAACATGGTAGGCCTCTGGAAAATAAAATGAAACCACAGAAATGCCTTGGAGAAGTTGAGTGAAAAGACGGAACATGCACTCCTCCATGCGGTCAACGTAGTCTGAAAAGTGTCCGTTGGTGCCAAGGCTAGACCACTGAGAGATGCGAGGGAGAGATTGACGCACTTGCCTCGTGACAAGCCGGCCCTCTGCATCTAGAACAGGGTGGCCCTCTGCATCAAGGACTTCATCAGTGAAGAAGGGCTCGTGTTCCTTAGGGATAGGGCCCATGGAAAGAAATCTCTCATAGAAAAAGGTAGTCAGGAACTGAGTATGTACAAAGCTCCACACATCATAGCGGCCCATGGATTGCTCCATGTTCGAATGGATGAGGTCAAGACGAAAATATATGTTACCTAGAAATAGAGGAGCCAGAGGAATTTGACTACTGTTGCAAAGCTTGACAGCCAAAGGAAACACCAAGGGATTAATGCTTTCGGCAGGGTTACTAGGTAGAACAAAGAAGAAGATGAAGTAGCTGACAAAGGCAGCCAAGTACAAGTCGCCGCGGTAGCCCAGCCCAACTATAGAGTCACGGCTCTCTTCGGTGATGTCGTCTACAACTAGTTGCAGGTCCTTGAAGAAATGCTTCAACCAAGAAAGGTAGGTGGTTTTATCCCTTTTAGGCCTCTCCTGGAGCAGTTCCCCAATTCTAAGATCATACCAGGAACCAAACTTCCACGCCTCCTGAAAGGTGCTTTGGAGAGCAGTGACGGCAACTTGCTCTGCAGGGGTCAGGGACGCTGGGTTAAAGAGGTGATCTGCACGGGTGTTGAGGCGTAGAAGGATAACAACATCTTCCAGGATTGGGGTTAT